AATCAAGTCTGAAATTTTAGACCAGTCTTGGTGGAGCAGGGCGAAATCCTATGTCAATGGAGAATGCATGCCCGTCCTCCCGTGCCAATTATTGCTGATGACTGAAACGATGGCTCAGTCCTTTGCTCTCCCAATTGAAAACTCCGTTTTCCTCAATGCTCTTCCAGGGCTGGAGCAGTGTTGAGTTGCAATCACAACTGTTGTTCCTCTACTGATAAGCAGCAGGCTAATCTGGAGATCAGATTCTGGCCTGGAGAGGGAGAGAAGCCTCTTTCTTCCCCAGAAGCTCACCCCCTTCAGGTGGATTCAGATGGAAATGCCAGAGAGACGGAGCTGGGCTCGCAGCTCTGCTGCTCAGGGAACAGAAAACCCAACCCTCAGAAGAACTGAGCCCCTTCCTCCTTTGTGTAAAGGGGGAAAAAAAAAGAGCCCATCTATATAAAGTTACAGGATTAGCATTAAACAGTGCTAGGCTTAAAGTGCTGTTCAAAGGCACTGCCCTGAAGTCTCAATGGAGTTGCTTTGCCATTCAAGTCCTGCTTTTACAGGTGGAAAAGGAAAAACTCACCCAGTCCAGCCCAGAGAAGGTTTCCTTGCTGCCCCATCCCCTCTGCAAGGACTGGTGCTGGTGGGGAGCTTCACTGTGTGAGCGTTATTATCATTTTCACTGGTGCAGCTGCAGTTTCCACAGGGATTTTCCCTGTCTCTGGCATCTGGGCTGACCACAGCTCTGCATTTGAGTCCAATCTGTACCCCAAAAAAGATTTCAGCTGGTTCATATCCATGTTGGATGAGAGGGAGAGCTGAAACAGCAGCCCAGGGGTGAAGGATCCACCAGCAGAGCCACGTTAGAGCTGATTTTTCAGCCTGCAGCAAGGCTCAGGTCAGACAGGCACTGCTCCAACCCCAGCAGTGGGAAAACAGCCCAAGCTTGGCTGATTTTCCCCTGATATTTTGGGTGGGGGCCTTTTATTCCCTGTTTTCCCTGCTAGGAGGTCTTAATTCCTCTTGTCCTCCACCCTTTGTCAGGAAGAGAGAAGACAGGAACACCAGTAGCCCAACAAGAAGCCAAATTTTTTTTCCCTGTGTGCTCCTGGCAGTGTGTTCAGCAAGTTTTCCCCAAAAAGCTTTCTCTTACCTCAGCAGTCTCTTTTAGCACATCAGGGCACCTCGCTGCCTCCACAGCAAATCCCAGAATTTGCTTTCCCTCCATCCTCCAAGCATGGCCTTGCTAGCAGGATTCTTTCATTTTTAAATTTATTTTTACCTTTTTCTAAGCCAACAGCTATTTTAGGAGGGCAGGGGGATATCAGCACTGACTGATATTCCAGGGGCAGATTACTTCTAGCCTGTATCCCAGCTCTTCCCTTCCTTCCCATACATTTTAAACACAACCAGCTCCAGGAAAATCAATTTACTCTCCTCATTCTGCTCTGTAACACAGAGAAAACTGGTGAAAATAAGTTTCCTTCTGCTCCTTTGTCAGTTTAATATTCTGGTCCTGTTTGTCCTGAGCAAGTGAACACTGATGAAGTTTGATTAGGTCTCACTGTCTCTTTGGGGAAGACTTTGTCTTCCAGCCTCTCTTCTTTTGGCAGGGGATGTTCCCATCATGCAGTGCTGAACACATCAGAGCTGAACAACCAAATATTTTTTCTTTTTTTTTTTCCTAAATTATTCTAGCAGGAAACTTCCGTGCCTTACCTCAAGGAAAAACAAGCATTCAAAGATGCCACAAGGGCTTCTGTGGCTGCCTGACCTCAGCACAGCAGCCACAGGCAGTGCCTTGTCTCGTTCCTATCCCAAGGAACAGCCCCTGGAAGATGCCCTGGCAAGGGATTTGCCCAGAAGCCGTTTCCCATCCAGAGGGGCATCTCCCTCCTCCTGCCTCCCCCAGGCCCATTTGGTGCAGGCCCTGAGAGTGAAATTTGTTTTAACCCCAAGGCCAGTCCCTGAAGAGAGAGAGAGCAAGCTTGAGCTTTATTCCTCACCTGGAGGTGGGGATGAGTCCCAGACACAGGGAAGTACAGTCCAGAAGAGGAACAGATTTCCAGCTCTGTGACTCCTCCTTTTGACAGGTGGCACCTGTGGCTGTGCCCAAGCTCAAGGACAGACAACAAAACCATCAGCAGGACAAAAAAATCCTGCCAGTTTTCACTCACGTCTTTGGGGTGACAACAGGGAACATTTTTGCTTCAGGGAAGACAAAAGTGCAAAGCTCAGGACACCGGGGATTTTTGTGTAAAAACTTACATAAGTTTATTGAACTGATCCAAACCAATGACCTGTTTTGGCCTGAATTCCACCACTAAGTCTGCGAGCAAACCAAAGGCAAATTGTGGGAGCGGGAGGTGTATCCCCAGGGAGAGAAACCAGAATAAAATCCAGATGGACTTACAGTTCTTCTTCTTTGAAATTACATATGGATGCAACATTAACAGGAAGCAAGAATAGATCTTTGTGTTTAAATTATATTTGAAGTTTCCAGGAACTGCAGAAAAGCAATCACAGAGGCAAAGGCCCGAGGTGGCTGAAGCACCTCTAATGTTGCTCTGGGGAAGGCGTCTCTCTGCTGCCTACAAAAGTGCCACATCCACACGAGGGAGGCACAGCTGCCAGGAATACATACTTTAGCCTCTGGGCTGCTTTAAGCACCTCGTCTGCATTCTCAAATCTTGCACATGAACGGAACCTACAGAATCTCACTGACAGGCGAGGAGGCAGAGCCGCCGTGGAGCCCCCGTTGGGTTCCAGACCCGAGGAGGAGAGGGCACAGGGAGAGCCTGTCCCCAGCAGCACTTCCCCCAAGCCACCACAGCTCACAGCTGCCAGCAGCTCCCAAAAAACGAGGTGACAAATCCCAGCCAGGGAGCAGAGCACAGCCAGCACCCCGTGCATATTGATAACTCATAACACCATTAGGCGATCCACCCGGAACATCTGGCCACAAACACGGATATTCAACAGGAACGTATCCAAAACCACAACAGCACAGTGTCAAACCCGGCACACAGAGCTGTGGGACACTTTGGTGTGGAGCTGTCACCCCAGTCCTCGTGGAGCAGGGGCTGTGCCCGCTGCACAGCTGCCCTTGGCAGATTTTTATGCATTCACTGGCAGGAGCAACACAACAGCTCTCGACAAAAGCAGCCCTCAGATAGAAGGACACACAAGCCAGGGAAGCTTGCAAATCTATTTTGTTTTCTCAAGGGGATGTCACAGACCCTTAGCTGAAGCTGGCAACACATGGATATGGCCCCTCCTGGCATGGCAGAGGTTTAAATCAAACCACATCTGCACCCTCACTCAGCACCCAAACCTCCTCTCCCAGCCAGAACCTTCTCCTCTCTCACCAAGACGTGGTCCCCTGTTGGGTGGCACACACACAAGACCCTTCCCCACAAAGCTGATTTGGGGTATTTTGCCACATCCTTGAGTGCCATTTGGTCCCACAGCTGATCATCTGCACACATAAACTCTCTCTGGGTTTTGGGGGTGAGTCCTTCTCCGTGGGAAGCCAACCAAGGTTTCTGGTTTCTACCCCGTGAGTGCTCCACTATCTGCACACAAGGTGAATGCCTTGAGAAAACCCTTCCCCTGGAGAAGTGGCAGGGTGGTGATTTCATACCTGAACAGACCAGGGGAGCAGGTTTGGGTGTCAGCACCAAATCCCCAGCACCAGTTAACCTTCTGTGTTCTCTTTTCCCATCTTCCAGTTCCCACCAGGTCTGTCACAAACAAAATCAGGATTTACTGCCAGTTCTGAGCTGGTGACAGCACCGATCCCTCCACGGACAGCCCAATTTTTAGTGGGCAAACAAACCTAAAAGCACGTACTTGGCTCTTCTTTATCATCCCATTCCAGCCTTTAACGGCCTTTGTTTATTCCCTTCTCTGAAACCCAGACACTTAATTGTGCTGAGGAAGTTGGTCAAGAGTTACAACATCTCATTAATAGCAGGTACAATGCCATAAATATACCCACAGAGGCAATTACTGCTCTGGAGAATTAGGTCAGAGAATCTTTTGCATCCCCATAGGTCACTTGCCTCGGACTCTGCAGCCACTCAGGGATAACCTACTTACACTGGAGGTCAAGGGCTGAAATAGGCTTCTAATATTAAACAACCATATCTTCATAAAACTTTGCTTTATAACAAAATATCTTATTAACCACAACTTTTCCTATTGGTAGGTATGTATATATCATACAGAAGTGTTGGCTTAAGGGTTCTGCTATCAGGCAGCAAATTATTTTTGCTGCCCAAATGGAAAATACATCTTCAGTAAAGCTCTAGCTTATAAAAGCATCATTTTATGCTATACTGCCACTATCTCCCTGCTGTTTAGTTTACAGGTACCACGGATCTATGGAAAATCTATGCTACCTATGGAAAATTCACTCCCTTCCCTATTGCTCATCTCAATGGGGCCAAGAAATTGCTATTTTTGGCAGGGGGATGAGGCACAAATTAGTAACTTGTTTTAAATCCTCCCATTTTAACCCTCGCTTTGGATAAGGAACTAATCCCCTCTGAACAATCCCCAAATCCTAAACCTGAAGACTATGAGATAATAATACTTCATCCCCTCCCCACTGATCCCACCCCACAATCCAGGTAAAACGTGAAGAGAAAATACACAACTCCAAGAATACCAAAGGAGCTCAGTGATGTGGGCAAAAGCATCCTGGGACAGAAAGTGCACGTGGGGATAAAGGGAGCGTTTCAAAATGAAGGTCAGGAGTTCATGTGTAACTAGAGCCCTCGCTGCACAGCTCCAAAAACTGCTCTGCAGCTGCTTGGAACCAGGAAATTGGGAAAGTCTTGAACTTGGAGCAGGGAAGACACAGGAAAGCGAAACAAGAGAGAAAGGAAGGAAGGAGGATTTCACTGCCCAGGCAGGGGAATCTGCTCTGCAGTAGAAAACGGGGACTACGTGAAGCAGCAGCACGCGATGCCTACGAGGGGCGCGTGGGGGAAGCCAAGAGAGAGAGAGAGAGTGAAACCTGCTGAACACCCAGCGTGAGTCCAGCTGCTCTGTTCCTCCACTTCCAGAGGCTGACCCGAGCCAACACATCCTCCGAGTTCGGACCCTAGGCAGGGACCCCGGCCAGGGGCCCCGGGGAAAGTGCTAGGTTTGAACTGGTGCAACAGCAACAAACACAAACTTCAACTTGACTCTTCCTCTCTCCCAGGAGAGGAATTTTAGCCATTCCACTTGCAGCGCCCACTGGCACAAGGTGAAGTGCAAGGAGGATCTCTTCAGCATCAGGATGGGCAATGGCCAACGGGGGAAGCTGCTCTTTAACCCCTTGTTGGCCTGTTGCTCTATAAGCCCTTCCAACGCAGCGCTCATCCACCACCTCCCAAAATTCGCTTTCCAACACACCCTTTATCCCCACAGGCTGCAGGCACCACGTGAGATGGGTACAGCAGCCCAAACCTCTTTTTTTTCCCCAAAAAATCAGGTGGATATAGAGCGTGCACTTTGAAAAGAAAAGTTTCTTTCTGGGAAGTTCTTTTTCTTTCCCCCATTTTGTGCACTCACAGAAAGCAAACCAGTGGAGTGAAGTGGATGCACTAAAGTACCTGAGCTCTGAATCAAGCAAAATACTGATGGAGATCTTTCCTGTGAACTCGAGCACAACAAAAGGTTGAGACAGCACCAAGCTGCAAGAAAATACTACAGCAAGCTCGAGCCACAGTTGGATAGCTAGGCCAAAGGGAGCTCTGGTGGAGCAAAACACCAAAAAATTTCGGAAAAGAAAGAAACAGGTCAAATTCTGCACCGAGCTGTCTCCTCCCTTATGGACCCTGGCATTGTTTAGCTTGAACAAGTGACCATTCACGCCAAATCACGAGTATACCGGAGCATCAAAGGAAACATCAAGGTATTGCCCACACTGAAACACACATCCTAAAGTCAATTGTCACCTCAAGGTCACCTGCAGTGGATGGTGGGCATGGTTCTCAGATCAGGGCACTTCCTCCGGGCTAAGAAATTACCTGCTACAGAAACACAACCAAACCTCAACCAACCAACCGAAACAAAAACCTTGCAAAAAACTCCTCAATGCATGTGTGTGGGTGTGTGGGGGCGTGTGGGTGTGGGCAGAAAGGCTATTTCATTCTGGGCTCCACGTAAATTTTATCCCCATCCCGGATGCCGTAGGAATGCAGCGCCCGCGAGCTGTATTTCATCTCCTCGGGACCAAAAGGAGCTTCCTGGTCCAAGTAGAAGAGCAGCATGTTGCTTGTTGACAGCTGCACCACAGTTTTTAAGTGCTTCTTCAGCTCTGCCACAGTCTGGTCGAGGCGGATGGACATCTCCTCCACCTTGTCCTGGAAGTGAACCTCCACCTTGGCGCTGCTCTGAGGCCGCAGATCCACCACTGCCAAGGGCTCCAGCTTCCCGTACTTGGTGACCAGCTCATGATACCTGGAAAATTCAACAAGTCCAGACTTATGGTGCAGCCACAATGCACAATTCCCAGGTCTGAGTGTTCCCCACATGACACAACATTGACCCTGATTCCAGCTGATGACCTGAAGCCCCAGAAAGCCCAAGAACTCCACTCACTTTGTCCCACGGTTCCCAGGCTGCACCGTGGCACCAACATGAGCTCAGTGTCCCACTAGGGAGAATTATCTCGCTGAGGAAGGTGAAGTTACCACCAGCCTGAGATGTTGGAGCTGGCTGGTCTCTAAACAGTTTCCTGACAAAACTGAGCAGCACAGTTTGGGCTCCTACAGTTTCAGAAATCCCAGCCGTGGCTGCAGTGGGATTTGGAAGAAAGAGAGGATGCTGTGCTCACAACTCTACACCTCCTGCTCCAGGGAAAACACTTCACTGAAGAGTGCCAGAACCAAGCCAGTGCTCACAAAAAGGACACAACCCTCAGTTTAGATTCCCAGTATCTGTGGCCTCATGACTTAACTGATCATCAGACATTCCTGCTTGTAACCAAAAGGCCACCTAGGTCCCAAATGTTACACTCCACTGAGCACAGGATCATCAAGATCACTGAAACAAGGTGAGCTGCTGCACAGATTGAGAGCTGATAACAGGGCACTTCTTGCCAGCTGATCCCTCACACCTGCTCTAAAACAAGATGGGAATTTTACTAGCAGAGGCACACACTCCACTGTCACCGTGTCCTTGCAGCCAAGTTCTCTTCCCAAGGTCCCTGCAATGGAAAGTCTGTGTCACCCCCGCCCCCCTGGTATCGCTCCCATTGGGCCAGGCTGGATCTCCCTGCCTGGCTGGGAAAGAGGAGGAATGGCAGCACAAAACACAATGGGACTGGGATGACAAAGGCTGAGAGCTGCCGAGGACAGGTAACGTTTCAGAGCCCCTGCACAGAAAGCGCTTTGTGCTCCCGATCCCAGGCGCAGCTGAATGCGATGGGCGCGGTGTCACAGCCCCCGCAGCAGAGATGGGATCTGGCAGGCTGGGTGACCCCAGGGAGTGCTGCCGGAGGCAGGAATGTTCCTGGAGAACAGCAGCCCCTCTGTGTGCTGGGCACTGAGCTAAGGGCCACAAGGCACTAGGATTTCTCCAGTCCCACAGACACAACCAGAGCGTCCAAAGGCGGGACGGTGCCCTGCTCTCATGGGCACCGGGGTGGCAGGAGCAGCCCCGTTCATCTGGGAAAGCCATTAGTGCTGAGAGAAAACAACACTCCCCACGTTTAACCCACCTGCAGGCAGAGCAACTGCCAGCCAACGTGTCAGCAGTGAGGAGGGTTCTCTTTCTCTGGAAGGACTTGCCAGCAGCAACATCCGATGGGAAAGAGGGAGAGAGGAACCCCCCTCTTGCTGCTCCAAACCCTCAGCGCCCCTTTGGGACATCCCCTTAATTCTCAGCATCTCTGCTGCTGCAGACCAGCAACAACTTCTGGGCCAGCCACAAGTACTGTCATGATTCATTCACTAAGAGTGAACTGGGCTGATGGTGGGGAGAGGATAAAGAGGGGGACAAATTTCAGCCAAGCTGAGAGACAGAACCACCATGAGAGAGCCACGATTATCCAAATATGTGCTGTAAATATGTGGTGGGTCAAGCAATGCTCTCTGAAATTTTCTTGTGCTGAGGAAGGGCAGAATGAGCTTTACAGCCTATTCCTTTGTATGTGAGCTGCAAAGAAAGCGGGGAGTGCGAGTGACTGGCTGCCCTCAAATCAATCAGGACCAAGGCAGACTGGTACATGGATGTTTTGGACCCCAATAATAGGTACCCTGGGGACTTTTCTAATCACCCCTTGCAGCCTGGCAGATGCTGAGGCTGCTGAAGACCCGAGCCTGGCTGAAAGTGTCTGTGATACTCTGCAGATAAACAGTGGAGCAGACAAGCAGAGGGCTCATTAAAACCCCCCAGACACGAGGACGTCGCTCCACAAGACAGCCAATATTGGATTGTGCACCCGGCGCTCCCTAGAACCACGACATCCACAGAGATAAATCGTTCCTTCCACTTCCCTGCCCGCCTGATCCCTTCCAGCTGCAGACAGCAATGCAGCAAGCAGGGGGGTTCTGCTGACAGAGCTTATCACAGGCTGCACCTTGCCAGTCTGGAGGGGGGCTGCTCCCACTGGGAAGTTTTCTGTGCTCAAGTTGTTCTCCCTCTGCTCGAGGCAGCACTGCAATGCAGATGTCAGACCCCAGCCACAACATGTGTGTCCTGATTAGTTTCTAATTACAAACCACTTCTGGAGCCACCACACCAGATTTGGGAGTGAGGAAGGGGAAGCTTTAGCAACAAACAGACACAAAATCCCTCTGCAAGGAATGCCAGGTGTCCCTTTGGACAAGGGCTGCTGACTGTGGGTCCAGAACTGAAACCCAGCACTGGGGACACTCTCAGCCATCTGCAGCCTCACTAGAAAATAGTCTGCAGTAGCACCCAACCCCTCCAGGACAGAACAACCCTCTCTGGCAGCTGCAGAAGTCTCTTGGAAACGCTGCACAGATGAAGGGATTTGGACAAAGAAGCCACTGACCATGAAAAAGGCAGTACCAGTGTTTAAAGGCTAAGAAACCTGAGGGGGAGGTAATTTTCCTAGCATAAAGCTGGCATGTTGGTCAAAATTAGCATGGTTTTCTTGGATGGGTGAGATGTCAGTAATCTTTTACATGAGATCCCACCTGCAAACCAACCCCAGTGGTGTGTGGTGATGTGTAACACACAGCCTGCTCCCAAAACCCATGTCCTAGGCACCATGAGTGCCTAAAGCTGTACCCCACTGTGTCCTTCCCAGCAATATATGGATCACTGACATTCTGTCACCACCAAACACAAGAAATATGAAATGTTATGGAAATTAATCCCTTTTGGGAGCAGGACCATGAGCTCACACTACCAGTCTTCCTTTTCCCCTTCCTCTCTCCTGCATTCTCTGTCCCTGCTGTTATCCCTTCCAATATTTCCTTCATTTTTTACGCTTCGAGGCCTTCTAAAATTACAAGTCAGGACTTGTCCTCAGAAAAAGGACCAGTTGTCTTGTCTCCCTGACTGCATGAGTGCCCTCTGCCTCTGAACTGACCCCAGCATGCTTTTAACAAATATTATAATCACTGACCCTATTAATATTCACACAAAATGCCATGCCCTCGTTCCCCCTTCCAGCCTTCCCACCCCCTTCCCGGATTGGCAAGTCACATATCCAGAGCTTTAGAATTACAAGAGGCATTTTAGCTGAGAGTTAAGCAGAGGAGAACACTGAGCAGATTCCATTTACACCTCTGTCATCCATGCCAGGCCATACCTGTGACCTTCAGAGCGTCCCCACCTCTGTCTGTGCCCTCAGAGTCACACACACTCCTGTCCTACCCCTTTTCTGTAAGAAAAGGATAATAAAGCTTTGCTGTCCAAAAGCACATGAGGGTTTCAGGCAGAGGAAAGGTAAAGGCAGTGGCCTGATGCTCCATGATCCCTTCTCAGCCCATTAGAAGCAGTCAGTGGATGCTGGCACAAAGAAGTTACAGACTGAACAGCATCTGTCCAAGTTCATTCGTTTACCAAGATGAATGGATCATTGGATGTACTTTTTTGGCAAAGAAAACCCATCAGACTTGTGATTTGCAGGCCTGAAAGAGAGGGCACAGCTTCCCACTGCCAGCCACATTCCACACACCAGATGGTCCACAGGAACAGATGACCTGGCCTGGCACTGGAGAGCACGATGTGTCCTGGCTTTGCGCACTCCCAAACACAGGTGGATTATGAAGGGAGCCATGGGACAGGCCAGAAAACAATGAAGGTCATGAACTCAACAGTCCTGTTGTTTAATGGCACTTGACACTTTTAAGACCAAACCTGACTCAGGAGTGACCCAACAAATCATCAGACAATGATAATATGACAATTTCAGCCCAAACAGACTGAAGGAGCCAAGGCCAGAGGAAGGTGAGCGATGTCTTTTTCATGGAACAGCAGGCATGTATTTCCCATCACCTGGCCAGTCACCACCCTTCTGTCCTTGCTCTCCACTGCAGGACAGAGAATTCCTACCTGAAAGGGACCTCCTCCTCGGGGAACTCCATGTAATAGCGGATGAAGAACCGCTCCGAGTCCTCCCGCTCCCCGTCGGCCACGATGCTGCCATTGAGCTTGGTGATGGATGGCAACCTGCAGGCACACACCAAGAGCCACAGTCAGCCAGGAGGGGAGCCCAGAAAGGCTCACCAACAAGGCAGTCACCTCAAAAGTGCCTCAGCTTTAACACCATGAGAATTCCTGCCAGGAAGCTCAGGCCTCGATCCCTTTGAGAGAGTGAGGAAGTTCCATGTAATTTCTCAAGAACACTCAAAATTAAGCACTTGAATTTCACCACAGATATGCACCACACGTGCACAGATCTGTAGGAGACTCACAAAATCCTCTGAGAAGTAGAGCAGTCAGATTTAACATTTTCACTTCCCTGACTTTTCCACAAATCAAGCTCAAATCTTTCTGCATTCACACAGAACTTCATCTCCTACCAACCTCTTCCTCTGATGAGCTGCTCCCACCCAACAAATCAAGCTCCAATCTTTCTGCATTCACACAGAATTTCATCTCCTGCCAGCATCTTCCTCTGATGAGCTGCTCCCACCCCTTCCCTGCCTTGTCATGTTTCTGCTGAGCACAACAAACCAACAGACCTGGCTATTAGCAGCTTCCTGCGTTCCTCGGTGGTATAAGACTGCAGCAGAGGAATTCCCAGCAATTTCACTTCCTCAAGCTTGGGGAAAGAATTTAACTTGTCAATGTCTTCCCAGCAATGCAGACCTGCTCAGGAGGAAAGATTTGTGTTAACAAACACAGAAAACACATCATGGATCCACAATAATCAGACACAGCCAAAGAACATATGTGACAGGAGAGTGTCACTGCTGTTCCTTTGAGAAGCTGGCTTTTTGCTCACAATGTGCTGAAAAAAAAAAAATCAACATTTGCTTACAAGACAGAGGAGCTGAAATTCTCTTGTGCTATTTCCAAGTCTAGAAGGATGCTCTCCATGGCTTTTTTATGGACCACTCAGCCCTTGGCCTCACTGCTGGGGACTGACCAGCATCAGTGATGTTGTGTCTATAAAAGGATGCTGCCTTCAGAGTGTTAAAGTCACCAGCACTTCTTTCATCCCAGGCATCACTAAACAGCCACCAAATGGCTTTACCTCACATACACAACCACCTTGGGTCCCATTCCTGCTCACAACCCAATGGTGAAACAGTCCCAAAAGCCATCCAGCCATTTAATGAAAAAGGTTTTAACTCGTTTTCAGCCCCCCTCAAGACCTGACATTTGGAATAACAAAGCAAGTGGGGAGGGCAAAATAAAACAAAGCTGAGGACTGAGCAGAGCAGAGCCGTGATTGTGTGGTGAGATCAACACAACTCATCTTGGAGCCTTCACCTGCCAGAACTTCAGAGTGCAGCAGCTTTCTCTAAAACCCCCAAAAAGTTTTAACAAGCTCCTTGGGATTCCTGTTTGACTTTCAGCTCCCAAAACATCAAAATGCAACACCGAGCCCAGAGTTCTTAAGCACCTGGCATCAAAACTGCAAAACTACTTACCAGAGGAGCACTTGTTCCTTGGTGAGACAGTGCTTTCAAATGCAGCTTAACAGGCTTTTCCTCCTCTAGTTAAGCTTTTATTACAGGGATTCCTTGATGCTTACATTGTAGGGCATGTTAATAAAGTCCCTTCTACCTGCCTGACACTTCAGCATCGCTTGCACAGCATATAAAGCTGTAAAGAACAAAAGCTGCTGGTGCATGAAGCACTCCTGCAAATGAATTTCTGGTGTATGTGTCATGCACAAACACGTCACAGCCCCCACGAGCTGCCCTGCAGCTCCTTCTCTCCCAGCACAGGGTGCTCTTCCCAATATTCCAACTGCTCATTCTCTTTCTGGAGCGTTGGCTGAAAATTCTCTGGGGCTGGAGTCTAAAAGCAGCTTCCAGCACCACTTGTGAGGCTGTAATGACTGAGCACAGATGACAGACAGCTTCTGCTGAGGGATGCTTGATCCACACTGCATACCTGCACATGCCCTCATTTTACCCAAGCTAAAGCAGGGAATAAAGGGAAAATGGGATTCTTTCATCCCCTCCACTGCCAGACATTTATTTATCCTTCCCCAGCCAGGAGTACCTGAGGCAGGGATGGGAAACAGAGGGAAACTACCAACATGAAATCCTTTCCAGCTCATTTTGATTAACTGGTCCACGCTGCTCTGACTCATCTTTTGATAATGACTAATTACCCAAAGCAGCAGGAAAATCCCACAGATGGGCAAGTTCATTGCTTGTCATCTATACAGGAGGAGAGACTCTGATCAACCAAGAAAACCCACCCCAGCTCCCAGGCTCCCACCTGACTTGTGCAAATTGATGGATCTTAGGTTGGGGAAGAGCCTTGCCAGGGAATCTTCTGACTCTTCAATGGTGGTGAGGTTGTTGTTAGCCAGGATAAGTGTGTCCAGTGATGGAAACATAATTCCCAACTTTCGAATTTCAGTCCAGTCTTGAAGATTATTGTCAGTTATGTGGAGTAGCTTGAGAGACTGACAGCAAACTGGAGAACAAGACACTGTTTCATAGTCGTTAAGGCACAGGAAGAGCTCCTCCAAGCTGCGCAGGGCAGAAAGGATCATGTCGTTAATTTTATGTGATTTTAACACAACTTTCTGTAACAGCTCTGAGAACCTTGGTGTAGAGAAAGCCTTTGAGCCCTGCACACAGAGTGTTTCGACTACATCTCTGCTCCCAACTATATCTTCAAAGATTAAAAAAACCTTTTAAGTGTTCCCTGAGTCTCTCCCAGTATTGTGTAACAGATTGGTTGGGGTTGTCTTCCACATCTGTGCCCAACAAGCCACCAACCCAGCTCCAGTGGCGACTGGACCTGCTCCCAGTGCTCTCAGCTTGATTTAAAATGGGGTTTCGATACAACCCTGATGATGATTTTTTTTCCCCACATCACTGCCAAAGATTCCCATTACAGAAAGAACAGATCCTATTAAAGAAAGAAAAGGTCCTACTGAGTTTTCAGACAACTGAACTCTCACAATCCCAGAGAAGTGTAGGTTGGCCACACAGGACATTCTGCTGTCATCATCTCTGCTTACAAAGCCACACAAAGAGGGATCTGTCATCAAAACAAAGCCACTGAGGACATCCATGGGAGCAGAATGCCAAGGTGGCCTGTGACCAAACCACAGAAATCAACACCGTAGCAGAGAAAAGCAGGATGAAATATTCCTTGACAAGTGGCCAGACCCTCAGAGGTACCACCCATTTAACAGGTATGCCCTGCACCATTCACTGCACAGTGACTCAGAGGGAAGTGTGACCCTCCTACATTTTTGGGGTCATTATCCATCTCTGGTATTTAGGTTTGGAGGAGGAGAAGGCCTGGGCTTTGCAGCACCACCCAAATTTGGTTTTTAGGACAATGTAAAGCACTCACCTGGAGTTCCCAAACTCCCAAAGGAAAGCATCCCTTTCTCTCTGCTGATGTTTGCATCCTCACAGCCCCCTCATCCCTCACCACACGACTCCATAACCCAGCCTTGACCTGAGTGTAAATCCCCAGATTCCCAGGCTTACTCTGGTAATTCCTGCAGGATGGTGTGCACTGTTTCCCAGGAAGCTTTGCTGTTGTTGAGCACAAGTTTGCGGACGCCAGCGAAAGACCCAGCGCAACTTCTCTCTAAAACGGACAAACTGAGAGGGTTGGAACTCAGGTTTAGAAACTCCAGGTGGGGGACGTTGGACACAATTTTACTGACCTAAGTGGGGAGGGAAGAAAAAAAAAAATAGAAAGAAAGAAAGAAATGTATATCAGGCAGTAATCGGACCTCTGGCAATAATATCCCACCTCCTCAAAGGGGCCCTGTGGAATCATCACAAAGCAATGATATGGAGAAAAACATAGGGATATCTACCTGTAATTCATATCCAGCCATTCCTGATCTAGATGGATTGGTTAATTGCTCATTCTCCTCAAGAGTTCATTTAATTACACTCTGGGAGCAGCTTGATAAGAGAAGGGCAGTCCCTTGGGAGAGGTCATAAAATCCACCTCAAGCCCAAGGCTGAGTAGCCGCACGTTCCAGGAGCCAGCCCTCGCTCACAGGGGGCCATGGACACTTCTCCTGCCTCCAGGAGCCAACACTGAGCACTTTTCCACCTTCCCACTGCTTCCCACAGAGCTCAGCCAATCCCTAATTCCCTCCTCGACTGGGGAACTGAGTGGGGAGCAGCTTCCAACACCAGCGGACATCAATGGAGAAAACAATTCTGAGTCAGACAACACCTGGCTGGAGAGCTCAACTCCACAAAGCTTTGGCATGGGCAGAGATGGGCAGACCATGGCACACAGAGGTCAATAAATGGCCCAGCTGTTGGCAAAGGGTGAATTCTCCTGAATTCAGGTGTGGCAAACATGAGGTAATGAGCCTGCCTTGCTTCATGCCTCCCCTCAGGTGATGTCATGGTTTAGGGGCTACACCTCAGGAATTAACTGGATGACATCAGTCCAGCAAAAACACAGGATTTAGGAAAAACTATGATGGATTATTGGGGAAAGGGTATTTTTTCAGTAGAATATTGAAATAAGGAAAAAAGACATTAAAGTTCCTCTTAGTGGGTATAAAGCTGTTGTATAAGGAACGGTGATGATGCTCCTCCTGCCTGCTGAGAACAGGGCAGGCAGAAATTGGCTGAAATTGCAGCACAGGAGACTTAAATTACACAGTTTAGCCTATGAGGTTATTAGCTAAGCATGGGAACAGGCTGGAATCCCCAGCACGGGCAGGTTTTAGGGGTGGGGAGATATTTATCTGGTGTGGATGGGCTGTGAAAACTTAATCCTGTCTCAGAGGAAGGGGCCAGCACACACAGAAGCCTTTCAGCTCCAGTCTCTGAAGAGACTGAACACAGAGCAGGGTGTGAGATGTGCAGCTTGTGAGTGACCAGTGTATGACCACACAGGGGGTCAGCCCCACTGAGCAGGGACACTGCAAACACTGCATTCTCTCCCTGCTTAAAGCCATGACAATCTGATGGCACAAACCCCCATGATATCCTGTTTATTCCCCACGTATTTCCAACACTAAACACTAATATAAAAGGAGAGCATAATCCAGTGAGGAACTTAATGACACTTGAATGGATTGAGATTGTTTCACTCCTGTTACATTGAATTTATCGAGCATTATTTCATCCAAGTACTTCAAAGGATTTTATGACAGCATTTAGTATTAATTAATGAAGCTGCAGAAATACCCTTTGTGGTAAATGTTATTAAATCTGTTCTGCAGATAAGGCAACAAATGTGGAGAGGGAATAAATACCTTGCTCACCATCACAGTGGCAAAGCTGGGAATTGACTGCCACTCTGTCAAAAACTAAACTGCTCATTAACTTCTTGGTGTCAGAAATGCCAGTTCCAGTGCTTTGCATGATGAAATAAAATAAAAATACAGATTTTTCGCCCACGGGCCAAGACTGTAAGTCACAAGGTACAGGAGTGAAGTGCCACACTGGATTAATTTTATCACATGTATTGCTCAGTTGCTGTCCAAGTAAATAAACATCACCTTCAGAGAGGAGGAAGAAGCCACAAAAATGGAACTCTCATCAAAGCAATGCATTTGCAGTCAGTAATAGCTGTGGAAGGTCCCCAGTGAGGTGCCCATGACCATTTTACCTCGTGCCAGTCTTCCAGTTTGTTGTCAGAGAGGTCGAGCTCAAAGACGTGGGCGCAGAATGCGGCGATCTCGTTCTCGTCCCCGGCACAGGTGATGCCACAGCTGTTGAGCACCAGCACACTGGGCAGGTTCAGGCGGTCTGGCACAGGGAAAAACAGAAGCTGCCTCTGCTCAGCACTGCCTTGGAGTTACAGAACCCAGCCCCAAACATGGATATTGCAGCCAGGAAGAGAAATCCACCAGGAATGCCAGAATTTACACCGATTTCAGGTTAAACACGGATTTTATAACAGACACTGTCCTGAAGTCTTGGTTGTAAACATGAAGTACCACTCCTATCAGTGTTCTTCAGTTCCTTCATGTATTCCTGTGTATTTCAGGCCTTCCTTTGTCATTTATGGCATGTCTCCTATCAGCCCTTGCCACAACTTCTGCTCTTCCCCAGGCAGCTGCTGCTGCAGATAGGACACAGGACTAGGGGAGCTGCACAGTCAGACTCCCTTATCCTCTTGCCCGGAGCCCACTTGGGCCTAGTAACAGCCAGGAGATATTTAAACATTTCTTAGGAGGTATTTAAACATTTCCTTTCTACGCTCTCCCCTCCCAAGGTTCAGTGTAGAGCATTCAGCATTCATGCAAAAACTCGTGTCTCTGCCCTGCCTTTCCATTTCTGCTTTGGTTTTGCTCCAGCTCCTCCTCGGACAGGTAAATGTACTCAGAGCTACAACCAAGGACTTGGACCTCAATCACAGCCTGCTGTGCTAAGGCTAAACCATGACAAAAAGCTGGGGGTTTGTAACAGGAAACGATTTCCACACAAGAAATCCACGTTGAGACAAGGTAAGTCATCAGTCTTACACTCTTCCAGGTATAACATGACTTTCCCACCTCTCTGGAGTACTGAAATCCATTAAAATATAACCACAAGCTTTTTCCTAAATAGGTGGCCCCTTTTCTCCTTAACACTTGACAGCTGCACGATTGGAAAGGGACTCTAGGAGCAAACAATTACCTGGGGTGATCTGGGTTTCCAAGTTTTCTGGCTCATAAGTGTCTGGTTTCTTAAAAAGGATAGTGTGGTACTTTGGGAATTACTAATGCAGTATTTGTAAGTCATGTCTCAGTCAGGTTTTATGACATGGCCTCTTTTCAGCACCCAAACAGCTCAGGTGAGCAGGAGAGGTAAATTTCCCTGCAGAGAGGGCACTGACTGAACATTCCATCAGGCCATTTTTCTGTTCTTGTTCATTCTGAGAGTGTTTTATCCTCAACTGAACTCAGGCCCTCTTTTCTCCTCTGTCAAACCCAGTTATTGGAAACTTCATCCAGCTGATTTCCATGGCTATTTTCCCCTTTGGGGTTGGTTATGACACAAATTGACCTGATGGATGTTTGGATTACTCCTACAGACCATGATGGGCAAGATGTGTGACACAAAGAAGGGGCAGCTCTGATGGGATCAATGTGAATCTCAGACCCATCCGTACAAACCAAGAATTAAATGTCAACATCAGAGCGTGAGGGAAGACTAAAGGGTGTCACATGGATCTAGTTCAAAGGAGATGGTGACACAGATTCTGCAGTCTGGGAGGCTCAAGGACATCCACGAGCAGCACAGAGCTTCAGACACACATCTGGCTAAATTCCCTCGAGGCAGCAAGGTCAGGAGCACAGGAGAGGGGAATTCTCCACTAGGTCACAAAGCTTTTGGTGCCTTGAGAAGACAAAGCACACTGCAAGTTCACCTGAGGCAGCTGTCACAAAAGCCTGGCTGGAGGTTCAACAACTCATCACTCTGCCTGAAATATGCCCCCTCCTGTGTACACTGAGCTCCTGTCCCTGCAGGCATCAAAGCAAGCTGGTGGCATGGGAACCAACCTCAAATTTAGGTATTTTATGTGTTTTTAAGCCACCTCTCCAAAACACCTGTGGCTGCAGCCAATAATAAAATAGGATCAGTGTCCTGAAGAAAAGCTCCAAGGACTGCTGAACCCTCAAAACACAGACTGCACAGGGCCTTAGGTCCATCTTCCACACACCTGCTGATCTTGAAGGTCCCTTCCAACCCAAATGATTCTATTCTATTTCTGTTCTATTCTCTAATTCTGATTCTATCATGCTGTAGAGAAATTTGGTTTTTTTCAGCAACCCATTCAGTCACTTTCTACCTTTGTTAGATTCCAGTCTCTCTACTCTCCAGTAAAAAAACACATTGTGATGGTTCTTTTTTTGGGCAATTCAAGGTGATTTCTTTTTCAGTTGATTCCTCTCAGCACCCTCCAAGATGCTCAGAAAGACCAGAAATTTACCTTTCATAGGTGAGCCCTGTGGAGTTGCTGGAACATGCACCCCCATGCCAGGCCCACGGCGGTAGGGGAAGTTCTCAGGGCTGTATTTCTCACACAGAACTTGCATGAAACTCCTTCCACTGGGCTGGTCCATGCTCCCTTCTTGGACTTCTGGTTAAAGAAGAGAAAAACAGAGCATATGAGCAGTCAGCAAGCAATAATCACTTCTAATGGTGGTGCTTGAGAACACAGGGAAAGCACGTAGATAGGCCACGGGTTTTATTTCTGAGCTCCAGATCATCTAACAGGTCCTATTCCAAATTCAAAATTAAAGTAAAATATTACCTGAAAAGCACCCCAAGCCAGAGGGTTTGGTGCTGTACAAACCCAGCATTACAGGCCAAGTTCAAGACTTCCTTACCCCACACGCTCTTCCAGGATAATTCCAGGCTGCAAAATGTGACTTCTGTATTTGTCACTTCTGCCCCTCCCAGGAGCACTGTGAGAAATCCACAGCTGTTCTCAAACACATCTGCAGGGCAGCCAGCAGGGGAAGGAGCAAACAGCTGTTTGTGAGTAGGAGATTGCTCCAACAGCTGTTTGCCAACTTCCCCTTTCTGCTGTGTCACCAAACATCACTTGGCCAGGCTGAGAGGCAGCTTCTGCCAATTCCATTCTGCAGCAGCCTAATGTATCTGGGAGATAATAACTGTGCCCTTCATATCTGGGCACGGCACAGAACAGCACAGGAAGAAGGCCTTGCTTCATCACAGGCTGCTGAGCTGCCTGGAGAGATACTGAGAGTCAGCTGTGAGTGGTTTGGACCCCTCCATGGCCCGGGATCTGCCCTGCCCAGGTGAGACTCAGCCCCTCTGTCTCTCTGAACTCGGCATTTGATGGGTTTGTAACACAGGAGCAGAGTTCATTCATGAATGAAGAGATTGTTTCCTGGTCCTGCTACCCATCATGGACACAGCATCACAATCCTGAACGTGCAGGAACCAGCGCAGGTTTCCTACACTCTACAATTAGTCATAGGGCAGCTTTTCCATTAATTACTGCAAAATTACATTTTTAAACCTCAGACTGGGGCCACACATTCATTGCAAGCCATGTTGATAATCTTGAATTAAGTTTTCTGCCTGTGTCTTTCCCTTAGACTTGTTACAGGCAGGGATATAAATCCAGAGATAAAATTCTAAATAAAAATTATTTCACTAAGGCTCCCTTTGCTGAGAATCACTTGTTTAGCAAGTTTTACTTCACTTCTTCAAGACCAGACTACCTAAAACCTCCAACCAAAAGGATTTGAGTACAATAAGCAGCAATTGACTGAAACATGTTATCATTTTTATATTATAGATAAAGTTTAAATGTCACAAATAGGGACCTACAGGATTAGACTTTAAAAAAACACCAAACCCCACCGTATTCATCTTTCAACAGCTTGGTTGATTCATAGCTCAAACCTGATTCCTGTCACTATCTAGAATCAAAAAATAAATGCTCAAAGTGGAGTTTGATGGGAGCAAGGCATTTAGTTTTAGGCTAAGCCATTCCACACAGTACAGGTACAGTTTGCACTGACAGCCAAGGCTTTAGGCTGAAAAGCCTTGTTCCAGAGTGGTTTGGCAGCTCAGCACCATCCACAGACAAACAGGGCTTTCCAAACACACATTCAGACCTCCTGGTCTGGAAATTCTGTTTCCAGAATTTATTCCCACGTGCATAAAGCCTTCTGTCCTTCACGTGGCTTTTCCATCAGCTCCATCCCTCTTCACCTGCTGAACAAACACCAGCTGGAAATTCCACACCAGAAACTCACCTTAGAGGCAAAAAATGGTGTTTTCAGCAATGGTGCGAGAGCAATTCAGAACTGAGAAGAAAAACTACTGACATTACATCCAATTATTGGGGAGCTTTGAATCCCCAATATTTTCTTCCTCAATCTCTACCTTTGAACACCAGTGCCACTGTGAGATGCCAGAACTGTTGTGGAGCGGGCAGTCACCTTTCCCACCTCCCTTCCCATGGGATTTCACATCCCCTGTAATCATCTGGCCTCTCTGAATCCCTACAATTGCCTGGGAGCAAGGAGCAGCAGGATGTGCAGAGGGAATGACAGGTTTCAAGGGAATGCTGTCAGCACAAGGGCAGGACGGGGTGACCTGCAAGGTGCACGTTTCTGAGTGTGTCCCTGCTGACAAGGGAATCACAAGGAACAATTCACGCCTCAAAATAACTCTGGGTTTTCTAAATGACAGCACGGAGTGCAAACGAGGCACTTGGGCTTTGAGAGGTGTCAACAAATAGCCTTTGTTGTTATATTTAAGTGCTCTGCTGCAGGGCTGTGGCCCCAGTGACAAGGACAGAGAATCTCAGAATAGCTTGGGCTGGAAGGGACCTTAAAAACAATCCTCATTCCAATCCCTCGTTCCTGCATCTTCCACTCTCCCAGGCGGCTCCAAGCCCCATCCAGCCTGGCTGTAGACACTTCCAGGGATCCAGGGGCTGCCACAGCTTCTCTGAGCACCCTGTGCCAGGGCCTGCCCAGCCTCACAGGGAGGAATTGCTCCCCAATATCCAGTCTAAAGCCACTCTCTGACACTTGGAAGCCATTCCCCCTCATCCTGTCACTCCAGGCCCTTGGAAATTGTCCCTCTCCATCTGTCTCCCTGCAAGTACTGGAAGGTCACAATGAGGTCACCCCAAAGCTTCTCTCCACGTAAACAATCCCAACTCTCCCAGCCTTTCTTCCCAGAAGAGCTGTTCCATCCCTCTGATCATCCTGGTGCCTCCCCTGGACCCTCCCCAACAGCTCCACATCCTTCCTGTGCTGGGATTCCCAAGCTGGAAGTAGCACTGGGAAGTGTCTGGAAAGAGGAGCATGACCCTGACTTGAGACTGATTCCAGGGAAGCCCAGTGTGCTGCTGCAGCTGATGAGTGAAGAGAGGATACTAAAACCAGCCTGGAAAACATTTCCATCCCCTGTACTCTGAGCCTTCCAGGAGAAGAAGAGACCCTTCAGGAGAATGACATCATTAATGACATGCTAATGAAATTCCAGCGCCACTTCGGGGCACATCCTGAACAGTCACACACCAAACACATCCTGACATGTTTACACACACAGAAAACAAAGCGTAAGGAATGGATGAACAGCACAAACATCCGTCTGCAAGGAGCTGGAGCATTGTTCTCCCGAGACATGATTCAGGGAAATTATTTTTGAGATGATCTTGAGAGGCAGAGAAGCGAATCATAGAACGGTTTGGGTTTGAAGGAGACTTTAAAGATCTAGTTCCACCTCTCCCTGCCATGGGCAGGGAAATCCCAGCAGGATTTATCAGGAATTGTAGCAGGGCAGGGAGCCCAACCCTCTGAGCCACCAGGACAAGCCACCCAAGCAGGTGAAACTCTGTCAAGGCCCCATCATCAAGCCCTGCACGGCTGTTTGTTCCCACACCACAGCACCGTGCTGAGGAGCCCTGCGAGCACAGGCACACACCCCAGTTGTGCCTTGGCACGCTCCTGGCCCGACCCTGACCCTGTCCCACTGCACCAGCAATTATTCCCTGCTGGAATTTTTCCCTGTCCGTGCTGCTGGGCTCGGGGCAGGACGAGCACGCAGCTGCCCCCTGACAGCCCACAGCCCCCGAGGCCTCTCCGCGTCTCACACACGGCCTGTCCCCTCCCAGGGCCTGTCCCCATCCCCGTCCCTCACACGGCCCCGGGGCTGGCCCCGGCTGACAGCGGCCTCTGCGCTCCCGCACCGCGCCGCTCTGGGCCCGGGCGGTGTCAGGGGTCCCCGGGCGGTGCCGGACGGTGCCAGCGGCCCCCACTGTCCCCTGTCCCCCCCTGTCCTCCCCTGTCCCCCGCCCCTCTCACCCAGGCCCGGCGGCCGCGTCCCACAGCGACCCGGAAGCAGCTGCAAACATCACGTGACACAGCGCGCGATCACGTGGCGGGGCGCGTCCCCCGTTGCCGTGGAGACGGCGACGCCGATGACGTCATTCCTGTCCCCACGGAGGGTTTCCTGGGGATGCGAGGGGAAAAGCGGTGTCAGGGGGTCAGGGAGGGGACCCTGCCCCGCTGCTCAGCCCTGGCAGGAGCATCGGGAGCTCTGTGTCCAGCTCTGGGCTCCTCAGCGCAGGAGGGACAGCGAGATCCTGGAGCGGGGCCAGCGGAAGGTGACAAAGACCAAGGGACGGGAGCATCTCCCTGACGAGGGAGCTGAGGCTGTTCAGGGGCTGAGAAGGGACCTCACCTCTGTCTGTCAGTGCCTGCAGGGCCCAGGCTCTGCTCCGGGGAGCCCAGCAATGGCACAAGGGGAATGGGCAGGGACTGATCCCAGGGAGCTCCACCTGGACAGGGGGAAGAAATTTATTACTCAGTGACCAAGTCCTGAACACAGAGAGGGGGTGGAGTCACCCTCACTGGAGAGATTCCAGAAGGCCCTGGACACAGCCTTGTGCCTTGGGATGACCCTGCTGGAGCAGGGAGGACCTGCTGAGGTCTCTACCTTGGCCCAGTCTGTGATTCTGTGATGCCACACAGAGATGATGCCAATGCCAAGATCCCTGCAGTGCCAGGGTCCAGCTCCGGGCACAGGAGTGGCCTCAGGGTGGCAGCCCCTTGCCTCCAGGGTCCTGCTGGAGCTGGATACATAAAATTCCCTAAATCCTGCAAACACCTGCATGTTCAGGATGTAAAATGTCAGCAGCATTGGCTGTGTGGCTCACACAGCAGCTACAGCCTTTGCTGGCAGTGCCCACCTGCTCTTTACCAGCTCGCCCCTTTCTCTCCTGTTTACTCAATGCTGGCACCTCCTTTTCTGCAGTGGCTGGTCAAGGACAGAATTACAGAATCCCAGCTTGATTTGGGTTGGAAGAGACCTTAAAGCTCACCCCAGCCCTCTGGATGGGCAGGGATGCCTTCCACTGGCCCAGGTTGCTCTAAGCCTGACCTGGATGACAAATCATGCTGAGAGTGAGGACAAATCCAGCCAGCCTGGTTCCCCACCTCCATCCTCGCACAGTAGGAATCAGAAAGTGCCTGAAACGCGGCCTGTCCTGCCTGGCAAAGACAGGGGAGCTGGAGGAGAGCTGCATTAGTCATGGCTGAGTGGATGCAGTGCATCTCCCCAGGCTGTAACATCATCGGGACAGCTTTATCCTGTTACCCTCACAGGCTGGGGCTGCAGGGCACAATGGCAGCATTGTGGGTGCTACCCAGGACAACAGCCCAGGGGTTAACTCCTCCTCTGCCAGGAATTCCCTGCCTCACTTTGGACAGACATCCTAGGTTTGCACCCACACAACTCATGCATGAGGCAATCCTGAGATCCCCAGGGCTAAGCCTGGGCACCGAGGATTTCTCAGCAGAAAATCTCCCTCCCAAGAAGCAAAGTGAGACCATTGCCAGAGCCATCAGCACATCACATTAACTCCAGATGCAAACTTAAAAGCTGTAATAGGCTTAGTCATAGAATCTAATGAGCTAATCAAGGTGCCCAAACCTATTACCACAACTAAAACGCAGCTCACTGTCTGCCATTCCCTGCTTCTGCTCCGGCTGGCTTCACAGCAGATTTTTAAACAAAGCACAGGGCATTTTCTTCAGGACCGTGGTGGAGAAAACCTTGCCTGATGCCAGGGTTATGACAGCCTTGCTGTGGCGATTTACCCGTGTGAAAGGGCTCAGGGCTTTGGAGGTGTCACATCACACAGATCCTCTCCATCACCATCCTGCTGTGTGTCACCCTGCCACCCCCAGTCTCCCCCCAGCACAGCAGCAGCCAAACTGAAATACATTTCATGTTTGCCTTTCAACAGAGAGAAAACCACTTGGGTGTCCTTCCTTTTTACCCTGTTGACACAACACTGGGTTTATTTGGTTCATGGGCAGGCCAGCACAGCTGAACATTTCCTTGCTAACGCTCCCTAAAAAACCTCCTCTCCCCTTGCTCTGAACGGCTCATTTGGTCCTTTCAATACATTTCGGAGAGAGCTTTGTCTGCACTTGGTTTTCCTTCCCCCTCTGCTTCTCGGATCTGTTTCAGCAAGATAAAGAATTCCATTGCATTCAGAGGCCACACTCTTTCCCTAACAATCCTCAGGGTTTTTTTTGCACAGCTCACCTGTGCTATTCAGTTGCTAGAAGGCAGAAGGAGCATACTTTAGCTGGTAACTGGCACCACAGTTTGATTCGAAACACATTTCAGGGGCTGCTTTCTATAATTACAGATGGACTGGATAGAGCAGATGTCTGTGTTAACCTCCACTGGGTCAGTGCTGCAAGTGTGAGAAAGTGGCCGCTGTAGCCCTGGCTGACTTTAGAGCCCATTTCCATGGAGCCTGGACAGGTCAGGGAATTGTTAACACAATATAATCTTCCTCCTCCAGGGACCAGTTTGAATTCAGCCCAAGCTAACCCAGATCCTGAGTGCTTATCACGTTGGCTGTCTCATTGTTCCAGTTTGATGGGTCTCCATCTCCTCCTCCCTGGCACACAAGTATCCTCTTGCCCAAGCTTTTACCAGCCCTGGCCCCTCCCTGGCAGGCTCCTCTCTTTCCCACAGCCGCTTCCCCAGGGTTAAACAGGCCATGGGAACTGGGAGAACTGGGATCAGCACATCCTTCCTTCTGCCTGGCTGTGCGGGGGGTACCACAGTGACACCTCACACCCACACTCACCCCCCTGACACGTCCATGTGAGGTGACAGAGACACCAAATCTGAGTTATTTTCATATTTTTAGAGCTGGACCTGATTAAACTCAGCAAACAAAATATCCTCAATATCTGAAAATAATCCTGTCCCAAGCCTTCCCTCATTACTCGTGTTTCTAATGCACCACAAATCAATGTCACCCATGATTGTCACTGGGGGCACTTATGGGGGTCTGGAATTGCACAGAGGCCACAAGAGAATCACATCCAGAACAAAAGCCACAAACATCCCTAATTTCACTGGCATTTGGTCTGAGGAGCAAAAAAACCCTCCCATGTACTCCTGAAAAATTACCTGAGATGGAGACTCAAACCCTTTCTGTGAAAAATCAGATAATTACTCACTGTGCTAATGAAAAAAAAACCCAACAAAACCACCAGGCTTTATTCCAGCCAGAGTGAGGCATCTAAACCCAATTAATTCCCAGCTCACACTAATAATGTTCAGAAGGTCTCGCTGCACACAGAGCAGGAGTGTCACTGTCACAATTGGGGACACGGGGACACCGAGGTCCCCGAACTTCCCTGGGTCTCACACAGAGATAATGGCAGTAGCAGGGGAAAGGAGCATCTTTTAGCCTGTGCTGCTTATCAGAATACTTCTCCCTATATTAAAAACAGCAGAGGTTTTAGGGGGAGGGTGGGGGAGAGGATTTAAACCATGCAATTTGCTATTTCTTTTCTGTAGCTTTTTGATCCTTTCACTTTTGGGTCTGGCAAATGCAACTTCCTTCATCCTTGGAGATTATTCTTCAATTCCTCAAAGAGGCTTCAATTTTCTCACAAATCTCTTTTCCTTTCACTTAATTTAAACATTTATGGCCAATTCCATGATTTAATAATGAGAAATAAAATTGGAGATTTACTAAGTGTGGAGAGAAGACCTTTCATTCCAGCTGGGGATTAAGAAGGGAGTTAAAGGTGTGAGCCCTGCTAGCCTGACCTGAGCTCCAGGAGAGCCCAATCCTGACGGATGCTGAGCATTCCCTGCTCCCACCCAAGGCAAGGAACGCTGAGCACACTGCAGATTTGGCCCCTAAAGACTCAAGCAAGCTCATAAATCTACAGCAGAGCTGTTTCATAGATATTTTGCTAATAACTTTAGAGCCTGACTTCATTTAGCACCAGTGCCAGCTGATCAAGTCCAAGCTGCTCCTCGCTACACCATTAATTTAAGGTAACTGTTCACTGGGATCTTTGGTTCCGCATAAACGCTTCCCAAATCACTTCTTCAGTCTCTGTCAATTATCTGAGACTAATGCACCTTGAAGTTACCTTTTAGAGCAAACATTTCTCCGTGGCCATAATTCTCAAATATTATCAGTGGCCCAAAGACGGGGAGGGCTCAGCTTTCAGCTTTGGAAATTGAGGCTGCGCGTTCAAACGGAGAAATCAGAAATAAATCAGCGCTGGTGGAGTCTCAAGATCTATTGCATTCTCATAATTTGGCAATTGCTAGGCGTGCTCAGAGGACCAAATGGACCTCGAGCCTTTTATGCAGCTGATTTCATTTTCTGGATGGCTACTGTTAGATGAAGGCAGCTTTTCTCAGGTGCTGCTGCGATGGCACTGCTGCAAATGAAGTCTGGCAAATCAAATCTCCCCCACTTGGGGCCACACTCGCTCAGCTGGCTGCTGTCACCCTCTCCATCACCCTGGGGACCCTGCTGGGCACTCAGTGCAGGATGCAGCTGCTCTGCTGTGCTTGGGAGAACCCCAAACTCACATGTGATCTGATCTGCCAGCTCTGTCCTCTCCTGTGATCCCTCAGCATGGCATCCTCACTTTTGGAAGTGCCACAGCACAGCCAGGCGCTTGCTGACCCAGCCTGGGCACGGATCATGCTCAGAGCCCTTCTCCAGCCAGCTCTGGATGCGCCCCTGGTGTGGCACCCACCTGATCCAGACACATCTCATCTCGGACCACAATTTCCATCCTGTTCACTCAGACAAAAAGGGCATCAGCAGACAAAAATGAGCCCAGACATGGAAAAGGCTGAGCCTCCCTCTGCCAAATGTCCTGGATTTGTAGCTCCGATGAGACAGAGAGGTGCCACTGCTGTCTGATTTTGGAATGTGGCTTTGGCTGGAAGAACAGGACAGAACAGAGCTAGAAGCTGTCTCTTCCCATCTTCTGTGTGTAACAACTCCATTGCAGGTCTGGATCCCACTTGGAGAACGATGCTGGCTGCGTCTGTGGGCTGCCAGAATTCATAAT